AGCCATGCTGGTTCTGTGAACTTTGGCAGATCATGAGAGGGAGGGCAGGAAGGGTTGCATCAGTACTTAGTTCTCCTGGACTTTTCTTACACACCCAGGGAAATGCCAATTGCCACTTTGGGGTCAGGAAGCAATTTTCTCCAGGCCAATTTGGCCAGGGATCCTGGAGGGTTTGGGGGTTTTTTTTGTCATCTTCTGGGCATGGAGCAGGGGTCACTGGGGGGGTCGGGGGGGGGGGGTAGTTGTGAATTTCCTGCATTGTGCAGGGGTTGGACTAGATGACCCTGGAGGTCCCTTCCAACTCTATGATTCTATGATTCTGATGCAACCACATAGCATTAGACATCTAGCCACATTAACAGCAACAAAAGCACAATAGGATCATGATCATAAACAATGTAAAAAAGTATCAGACATGATGTCTTAAACCAGAGGTGTCGAACTCATTTGTTACAAGGGCTGGATCTGACATAAATGTCACTTTGTCGGGCCAGGCCCCATGTGCCGTAAAACATAATGCCAGGTAATACAGAGAAACTGTATTAAAGGACAGCAGCTGCTAAGCTCCGAGTTGTTGTATCCTCACTGCAGGGCCCCGTGGGCTGGGAGGGGGGTGTGCAAAGGAAAACCCACATGGACAGACTGGAGAGCCAGCAGTGCAGCACTGGGCAGACGCCCTTATGCTGCTTGACTGCTGTAGATGAGGTTGTTCTGCTACGCTGAAGCCACAATTGGAGTGGCTCCGCCCACTCCTCCATGAGCAGTCTCCTGTTCCCTCCCTGGCACCAGCTGCTTGCAGGCCGCATAAGAGCCCTGGATGTGCCGGTTCCGGCCCCTGGGCCCTGTGTTTGACACCCCCGTCTTAAACAGTGCAAAAAAATGGAATCACAAAGTAGAAAACAATGCAGTAAAAAAGGCTAAAATCTTACCTTTTCTGTACATAATCCAGGTTAAAATTTTGGCAATATGGGATAGCTTTCAGAATACTTTAAAATATGGTTATGCACTCTTCACTTCAGGATGTGAGTTGTTCTGGGGTAATGTTTACCTGTGTTGGTTTTAGGGAGACAACACTGATGTTTTTGGTTTTTTATAGCGTTTGCTTTATCTACACAAATACAAACAGTGGCATGAACATTGGGTGGCCTTACAAGGCCAATTTTATATATGTTCATTCAGAAACACTTGTTTTGTGCCCCGAAGTGGTGAAGCAAAGGACCGTTCATAATTTGTGGGTTGAGAGTTTATCAACCAGTGGTTAAAGTGTTGGACTAAGATTTGGGAGACCCAGGTTTGAATCCCCACTCTGCCATGGAAGTTTGCTGGGTGATCTTGGGCCAGCCACACACTCTCAGCCTAACGTAACTCACAGGGTTGTTGTGAAGATAAAACGGAGAAGAGGAGAATGTTGTAAGCCACGTTGGGTCCTTGTTGGGCAGGAAAGTGGGGGTATAACTGAAATAAATAAATACTAGAAGCTAGGCAATAGATTCAGGATGGACAAAAATGTAGTACTTCTTTACTCAATTGTGCCATTCACTGCTAGTGGACACAGCAATGGCCACAAGCACAGACAGCTTTAAATGGGATTACTAGGGGTTTTGAACTCATTTGTTATGAGGGCCAGATCTCACATAAATTGAGACCTTGTTGGGCCAGGCCATGGTTGTCATAAAATTTAATGCCAGGTAGCAGAGACCAATATTCCCTCTAAGCTGAATTAGTGTGAGCCAGCTCAGTTTTTTAGCCTCCGGCTCACACATTTTTTGTCTTAGCTCAGGACGGATGGCTCCAAAGCAAAAAGTAGCCAAATGGCTTGCTCACAACTTTAATGCCAGTAGCTCACAAAATAGAATTTTTGCTCACAAGACTCGACGGCTTAGAGGGAACATTGGCGGAGACATAAACTGAATTATCGCATCAAAATGTCTGTGCTGTTGCAATCCTGAGTATGCTGTTCAGGTGTGTATCTGTAAAGCTGCAAACCTAGGATTATGCAGTGGCAGCAGCAGAACTGGAAGCAGCAGCAGTAGACAGCAAGTTCCACTGCGGGCCTGACAGAAGCAACCCCCGGGCCGCATATTTGACACCCCTGGATTAAACAGATCCATGGAGGGAAGGGTCCATCAATGGCTACTTGCCATAGTGAGTAAAGGGAACCTCCATATGCCGAGGCAGTAAACCTCTGAATGAATACCAGTGCTATGAGCCCTTGCCATCTGTTGGCCCTCTAGAGTAACTGTTTGGCCACTGGGTGAAACAGGATGCTGGACTACATGATCTAGGGTTGTCAACTACTGGGTGGCTCCTGGAAACCTCCCAGAATGTCAACTTCTCTCCAGACCAACCTCGGGGGGGGGGCGGCGGCGGCAGGGGGGTTGGCACTATCAGACTCCATGGCACTGTACCCTGCTGAGGTCCCTCCTTTCCCCCAAACCCCTCAGGCTCCACCCTAAAAAATCTTCAGGGATTTCCCAACCCAGAGTTGGCAGCCATATATTGGTCTGCTCCAACAGAGTACCTCTTAACAAAATGGGCTTTAGGCAGGGTTTGAATTAATTACTCTCAGCCAGGGGTCATTTCGTAGAAAAAGAGCTGCAGGAGCTCATTAGCATAACTTATTAGCATATGCCACACACCCTGACATCACCGGAAGTGTGCACCAGCCCCTCTGACAGGCAGAAGCACCTGGGATCCAGTCTTTCCCCCCTCTCCCTTGAAGGAAAAGGGGAGCAGGAGGATCTCAGGCGCTTCTGCCTGACAGAGGTGCTGGCGTGCCCACAGCCAGCCTTGGTGATTTATAGAATCATAGACTCATAGAGTGGGAAGGGGCCTCCAGGGTCATCTAGTCTAACCCCCTGCACAATGCAGGAAACTCACCAATACCCCCCACACACTCCAGTGACCCCTGTTCCACGCCCAGAATATGAGGGGAAAAACCCTCCAGGATCACTGGGGGCCAAACTGGCCTGGAGAAAAATTGCTTCCTGGCCCCAAAGTGGCAATCAGCATTTCCCTGGGATTGTAAGAAAGGGCCACAAGAACTAAGCACTGATGCAACCTTTCCTGCTCTTCCTCTCCTGAATTGCCTAAGTTCACACAATCAGCATTATGATCCTTTTAAAGTTGAAAGCATGATATAAATGCAAAGGACTATTTGTAAGATTATCCATAAGACCCAAGACCAGGACGCATCTCACTTCTGGCAATCACTTGGAGAGACCCTATCACTCAGCTTCCATTGCCCCCCACACACCCCACACAGGAATAAGAACATAATATCAGGCCATACCACATTGCCATAAAGCCCCTACAACTGTATACAGAAATACTGAGCTTCCCTACCATTTGCCACAACTAGCCCACCACACAACCAGGATCAAGACTCCTAAGTGGACCAACGGACAGGCATGCACTCGTTTGAGAAACTGAGTATTACATTACACCACCTCTGGAACATTACAGATCAGTAGAGGCAGCACTGCACAGTGGTCAGAGTTGCAGATTGATGTGGGGAGACCCAGGTTTGTATTCTCACTCTGCTGGCTGAGTGACCCCGGGCCAAATCTCCCCTTCTCTACCTAACCTACCCCACAGGGTTGTTGTGAGGATGAAATGGAGACGCCCTGCGGGTGTCGCAGCTGCCGCCGAGAACACTTTGTAAGGAGCCCTGAAGGAGAGCTGGGGGAGCCAGAATGACCTCTCACGTGTGATGTCCGAGCGGCTCCTGCCCCGGTAATCACAACATACCAGGAAAACAAAAGACACTGTGGAAGCAAAAGCCCTCTTGAGTTTGAAGCAGCTTGCTCCTCACATATGGGAACTGGTGTGAGTTTTCATAGCGTTAGGGAGCTCCATAGGAAAATGTTTATCCTTCACTCTAATGAAGATCGGAGACACCCGAGTATGCTGGAAAGCCGTATCAGACAGAGAATGATATTTATAGACCTGCTGTTAAAATCACTGCTTGCCAAAAGCACAGAAAACACAAGTCATTTGGGTGCCTGATTTTTTTTTCCTTTGAGTTGTTTTGTATGATGTTAAGCAAACTTGTTTGACTTGTATTCCGTTTTGCATTTTGTTGCGGCTCGTCTTTTCTCCTCTGACATGGGACACACATATGTTTAAGATTTATTTCAGAAGACACGTTGTACGCATATGTTCAAAGTTTCACTTTATAAAGTTTCCTTCTATTGATATTGTATTTAACTTTAAAATAATTTTTATATAATAATATAATTTTATTTGTTATTTTTTAAAATGTACACACACACATATATATAATAAATAAAATAAGCTTGCATAAGTCTTTATATATAATTGTTAGAAATTGCTCTTTCACAGTGTATTTTGTTTTCCTGGTATTTGCAGCACTGTGTTCCCTTATTGACTTATTTCAGTAATAATCACAACAGGCAGATGCCAACAAAACCTTCTTTGTACGATTAGCGTATCCCTTCCCATCACAGTTTTCAGCTCAGGGTGGCCTCCGCAATAGTTCTCAACCATCCACATCAGTCTCTTTGCAACCTCACACAACTCTTTTCGGCTTCATATATGTATTTTAAAAGGTGCTGCACTGCTAGCAAGCAGCAAGACACCTCTGAGTCGGCTGTGTTGTCTTAGAGGCCGAGAGCTGCTCACCTTCTCTCTCCCTTCCGTGTATCCCAGATGAAAACATGCTCACACGCTGGCACTGCATGCAAACAGGTAGGGGGTTGCAGTATAAATAAGCTTAGAAACAAATAGAACTATTGCAAATGTGCAATCAGTGATTGTAATAACAATACTCTTCAAGTGTGTACAAAATTACAAACTACACAATAACATTGTTATTATTGCCCTGGTGGGCAGCGGCCACCAAGGAACCCTGCAGTTGCCTAGGAAACGGCAGCGCCAACGCCCCAGAGAAGCGAGCGAGTCTCCTCACGTGACCCTCGTCCCGCCACGTCTTTCGCCAGTAGGCACATTGAACCGGAAGCGGATGTGTGTCGGGGCGGAAGTGGTGTTGTGTTGCATCGGGGAGTTCGAGAAGCGGCGGAGGCAATAATCAGTTCGTCATGTCGATCGAAATCGAGTCCTCGGAGTGAGTTCGCTGGGGTGGGCTTGTGAGGGGATGGAGAGGGAGAGAAAGCGGGCTGGGCCTGGAGCGAACCCGGTCCAGCCTTCCCGCGCTTAGCCGTGTTTCTGCGGCCTCAGACACCCTTCCCCCTCTCAGTCTCCATGTTGAGCAGCCGGCTCAGCATTTTCGAGCCCTTCTTCGTGAGGGACGACCTCAAATAGAACGTTTTTTTTCCTTTCTCCCCACTCCGTGATGGCCTTTCAGAGTAGTAAATGTTACACGATTCTCTCGAGCCACATTGTGCATGCCCGCGTGTGGCCGATGGAGCGGGTTTAGATTGGAGCAATTCTGGCATAGGGTTGTGATGTTAAGCAGGAAACAGTTTCCACTCTTAGCCATTGCAGTGTACCCAGTTTGGTTATTTATAGTTTATCTGTCAGAGGGGAGCTGTCAGAATGGACAGTTGCATCTGTTCAGGTGGCATCTTTCCTGTTTCAGAATTGGGGAAAATTGAAACAGCATGTTGGGAACATGGATCAATTCTCTGTATTTAGGGGAGTTTTGGTCTATTCTTTATGTGCCTGTATTGCACATAAGTAATATCAAGTGTATAATTCCCAGTGTTGAGAACGTGTGTGGCTCTTGGTATTTTTTAAACTTGATTATCAGTTCACAGAGATGCTAACATGCTCGAAGGTAAACAGTAGAAATGTTTGTGTATTATGTGCCATCAAGTTGCTTCTGATGTAACTTCTGAATTAATTACCTGCTAAATGCCCTATTGTTAACAGCCTTGCTCAGGACTTGCAAACTGAAGGCTGTAGTCTCCTTTATTGAGTCATCTCATGTTGGGTCTTTATCCTTTCTGCTGCCTTCAACTTTTCCTAGCGTGATTGTCTTTTCCAGCGAGTCTTGTCAAAGTACAATAGCCAGAAATATTTATGTTCCTAAGTGTATAAGGTGATGCCATTGTTTTCTTAAGCATGTTGCATGTTTGGTCAGACAAGCTGATATTGATCTAGAAGCGATTATTATTGAATACTCCTCATGTCTGAAAGTAACTGTTTAAGAGTAACTAGCGCTTAATAAGTATTGTATAACCACTTGGGCTTTTAGTTAGGTTCTTTTTACTTTTTTCCTTAGTTTGCAGATTCCCACCCCCCCTCATTTCTGTTGTAGTTTTTAGAAAATCCAAATAAAAAATTTCCCCTACGGGGGGCCAAAAAAGAAGAAGAAATATTTATGTTCCTGTAAATATAGAGTTTAGTGGCACCTTAAGTCAACAAAGATTTATTCAAGGTATGAACTTTCGAGTGCATGCACACTTTTTTACACATTTATCCCCTATTTTGACATATTTATTGTTTTACTGTTCTATCCCCCTTAATGAAATCAAAACAACTGTTGACCTTATAACCTTAGCTTGTTGTTTAATTTTGTCTTTGCCTATCTTAAAACATTTTCATCATGTTACATGTTAATTTGCTGTTCAGCCTCTGTCTATAAGTTTGAACTCTTACCATCTGTTCCAATGTATTTGAAAAAGTGTGCATAGACACAAAAGCTCATACTTTGAATAAACCTTTTTTGGTATTAAAGGTGCCACTGGAGTCTAAATTTGTTCTATTGCTTCAGACCAACACATCTGCCCACCTGGTCCTGTAAATATGTTCTTTCTGGCAGTGCTTTTCAAGATTATGAGGTACTACATGTGTAGGGGGCAGGTGGAAGGTGACTCCAGAATCCTAGTATTATATAGTTACCGCTTCCCCTCTTTTCTCTGGAGAAGCCACAAATCTGTTAGAAATTGAATGCCTTTGCTATACACTGGTAGGTATTGGTAAGACAAATTTTTCTTGCCTGTCATGTAAACAGGTAAACAGATTCAGTATGCAAATTAATTGTTTCCACTGTATGTTTCCCTGAAAGTGTCATCCGGCTGATCATGCAGTATTTGAAGGAGAACAGCTTGCATCGTGCCTTGGCCACCCTGCAGGAAGAAACCACTGTGTCACTGAACACTGTGGACAGCATTGAGAGCTTCGTGGCAGACATTAACAGTGGTCACTGGGATACAGTCCTGCAGGCGATACAGTCGTTGAAGCTACCAGACAAAACACTCATTGATTTGTATGAGCAGGTGCGCACTCTTCACGCAGTGACGTTCTGTATCCGCTAGCATCTTTGTAAAATTGCTGCACATTTATAATATCCTTTGTGCTATGAATATATCACGGGCCGTAGTAAATAAACTCAGCATTGTGGTCTCATAGGTAATCCATGTATCATGCAGAATGAGGGGGTGTATGGTACTGTGTCAGAATGCAAGTGGTGGCGTGGGTCATATTGATGAAAACTCCTTTTTGTGATCAATAAATCTGCATGAGGGATGAATATATAGCCTTTCACCTGTTGTGCTAGTTTGCTACATGCCAGAAGCTTTAAGCTGGATTCCGTCAGCTTCTTGTCTTGATCTTGCATGGTTCCCCACCTCAGTCCCATCCTTTGTGGTTTTTGTCCACAAGAGTCACACAAGCATAACTTTTCCACCCGTCAATAGTGAGCCTTCCACTCTCTTCTGCTGGCTGAAAGTCTGGAAAAATCCAGCCCTTTATATATAGGGGAACATTAAAAACTATGATCCCTCCCCTTCCTGCAGATTATAGTGGTACAGCCCCAAACTGTACTCTTGTTCTATGTAGCATTAGACCAGCTTTGAGTCTTCTGTCAGACACCTGCTCTGTGTTGCACCATGAATTTCCAGATCTCTGGCATGCAACCTTGTTTATTCACTTAAAGTATTCTTAAGCCTGCTTTTCAACACAATTGGGACCCAAAGTGGATAACAGCTTATAAATAAAAAGTAACAATGATGTAAATCAGGCAGTACAAATAAAAATGTCTTGAAAAAATAGCAAATACATTGCCAGTTTTTTAGAAAGATATCCCTCAGACTCAAAACATATCTGTTTTAGTTTTCCAGTGCCCCAAGCAGATGTATATATAACTTCATTCTACAGCCTTTCTGGAAGGTCAGGAAGGGGTGGGAGCCTTCCTCATGTCCTCCAGGAGGCTGTTGCAGCACATGGGGGCCACAACCGAAAAATTCCTTGTCCAGTTGGCAGGGGATTACACACGGGATGGGACAGTGAAGAGAAAAAGAGTTGGTTTTATACCCCGCTTTTCT